TTTTGATTCCAGTTGTTTTGTAAGTGTTTTTTTTTAGTATTTGTTACTTGTTTTTTTTTCATTTCATTTAAAGTGTATATGTGTTAATGACACTCCCGTTCTGAACGGCCGTTTGCATTACAATATTTTTTCAATCAATGCACGCAATATCCATTTATATAATTTTACTTTTGCAATGTTTATCATTAATTAACACATTACGTTAAATATAAGTCTTAAATCATTTTGTTATTGATTTTTATTCTCATTTAAAATGTATAAATATCTTTGTATTCGTTTTTTTTTTTTGTTTTTTCTTTTAATTTTAGTTTATCATTAGTTTAATTGGCTAAATTATGTTCATTTGTGTGTGTGTGTGTCGGCATTGACAGTATATCTCCCACAATCGTATGACAATAATGCTACGAACTTATTTTGTTTAGGTTTTAACTAGTTTATATGCTTTTAGTTAATGTCAGCAATGAAATATGTTCATCTTTTTTGTTGCCCCTCAATTATATTTCGTCAATTAAATATATCCTGATTGAATTTGATTAGTCTACCACATTTTGATTTTCTTAAGCCTATAAACTTGACATGAATGTTAATGCGTTTATCAAATAAATCGTAAGTTATCTTTGGCTTTTCTTTGCACCACAAATCATTTAAAGAAAAAGAACCAAATTTAAAGAAAAAAAGTGAACAAAATATCAACGATCAATTTTGATAAGACTTTCGAATGGATATCGAATGCAATTTATGCTCGTGTGAATATACAAAAATGATCCGAAACAAATTCATGAATGATGCAAAGATCCGGTAAATCAAGTTAAAACAATGACGAAAAAATATCCCTTCAAATTGGTTTGGGTTCAGCGTTAAATCCTGATAATAACTGACAGAGAACTCGATGTGAGGCCGTAATTGAACATTGAAACATTTATCATTTAGTTTTTAAGTAAATATATTCAATTTGGTTTTTTTTTCGTAATTCATTTTAAATCTAAGTAGAGCTTTCTCTAAGAAACTCCAAGGAAGAAACAAACGGAATAAGTGAAAAGCACATAGTTTTGACGGAGAAATATATTAAGATCTACGAAGAATATTCATAGAATTGAGAAGCGTTGAGATTTATTTTTTTAAAAAACATTTTTTGTTCTCATTTGATTGATTGATAAATTGCTTAACTATGCAAACATTGGTTTAGCTTTGATTTTAAATTACACGCTAAGCCAATTGGTAAACATATACAATGTCCATGTAATTTGGCCAATAATCAGAAAATCCCCAGTTTTTTCCATGTTGAAATAGAACAGTAGTGGAAAATGTTGCAACCAATTAATTAATTTCCATGAAAATGTAAATCTAAATTTCAATGCCAATGAGTTGCTCTCGAGCTTTCTATAGCTTTTTGATAAGCGATTTTAATTTTTTTAATAATAATCATATCATCATCATTATAATTATAGTAATAATCAAATAGCAGCAGGTTAGCCATTCATTTCACAATTACACACAATTTAAGTTCATAATTCATGTGATTATCCTAGGATGTCAGCTGTTTCAAGAATAATTCGTAACAATATCATATATAAATATTTGAATAGTTTTTTTTTTTTTGTTGGGTTTGTGTGTGTGTTAATTTGTTTTTTTTTTCATATGCTTTTTTCCCTCTCAATTAATTATGTTTCATATTGAATTTGTGTGTATAGTATATGTCATTTTAGCATTGCAATTGATTGATTACTCTTTTTGTTGCTGACATATAATGCCATAAAATTTCAATAAAAAAAAACATTTTCTTTCCGCTGGTTTATTCACTTTTATAAAAATAAAAGTATTTGCTCTTTTTTTCTTGGTTTAAATTGTTGCTGGCATTCCTCGAAATTTGTAGTAATATATTGTGGGAATTTTTATGTTGATGCCATTCCTTTTATTCGTTTAATACATTGTTTTGCAGCTTTTATATGAACTATTGAAAAAAATAAGTGTGGAAGTGTTTGCCTGATAAAAATATCTCCCCATATTATAATGATAGTGAAAAATTGAAAATGCTTTCGTTTTATGTTGCTTGCGGTTTTTTATTAGTACTTAATCATTTTGTATTCTTATGATGATAATTCATGATTTTTTTATTAATAAATCAAAAGATTGTTTGTATAGGTGTGTGGGTGTGCAAAATATGTCGCAGAGCAAGAGATTGGAAGCAAGGGAAGAACACAAAAAGTGAGATACACATACAGTGACGCCAGAAAGTTTGGAACTACCTATAAAATGTACTTTTTTATGGTTTTTTTTATTATTCCTTTCTAAATATGAAATTCTGTTCTTATAAATGATTTTGAATCAAGAATTTGGCCGACCTTTGGTCATTTTTGGCCGATTTAAGGGCTAAATCAAAGTTGCGAACGGACCGTCGAATAAAAAAGTTATATATGTATTGAAGAGAGTTCAAATGATTTTTGGTATCCATATAATTCATTTGCGGAGTAATTTTGACGGTGGCGGGACTGTGCGGAGTTTGGCGGAGATGACATACAAACTCTGTGTGTGCGAGGGTAACAGCACTTCTATGTGTATCATTCTTACGCAGATGATTAGTAGCTTAGCTGTGTGTACGGCTACTAAGATGTTCGATTGGACAAAATAAATCTATGAACAGCAAAGAATGCTGTTGCACTCGTACACACAGCATTTGCATGCTATCTCCGCTGAACTCCGCACAGTCCCGTCATCGACAAAATTACTCCGCAAATGAGTTATATGGGTATGAAAATCGGCCGGCATTTGGCCAAAATAAGTCCTTTAAAAAGCTATGGTGGTTCCAAACTTTCTGTCGGCACTATAACCATTTTTGGATTTGCATGGATTTTTGTGTTTTTTTTTTTGTTGTGGGCGGGCGCCAATTTGTTGTTGTTCATACCATATTTTTACTTCAATTTTTCGCCTCGCACTTATTTTATGTGTATCGTTTACATAATCAAATAATTCGTAGTATAAGTTTTATTCATATATATATATATATATCATTTTCTCTATCATCTAAATTTATATGCTTATTTTCAATTTGGTTAATAATAATTTTTTAATCATGTTTATTTCGTTTCTCTGCCTTGTTCAAACATTAAATGCATTTAATTTGTATGCACTTTAACTGTTTTGTGCTCATTGATTCGTGTTCGTCAAATGAATATCCAATCCCGTAAATCGTTTACTATTGGGTGCTGTCTATTTGGGTCACAGCTCATCAACTTAATTTCATTGATTCACCACAAACTTAACTTTTCAAAAACGTCATTGCCACTCGGAATGACACAATAATCACTTGTTTAATTTTCAATTTGCCTTTCATTTGATTTTTGGTATTTCTCTCTCTCAATTCATGTATGTGTGTTGCTTAAATGTATCATTTCATTTTCTGTGCAATTACTATACCAAATGCATTAAATTAATTCCATGGATTGTTTTTCTTTTTATTTTAAATTATATTTGACTGAGTTCGCAGTATGCGTGTATGATTTATCATTAATAGGGTTGTAGTGTTGAGTGTATCTGTTTTTTTTTTTGTGTGAACGAATGTTTTTTTTTATCATATTGCCTATAATTAAATTTTTTTCATAAAATATGCATTTTTTGTATTCAATTCATTCGTTATTGTTGAACTAACATTACTTTGGATGAATGTGAAGTAAATAAAAAAAAATAATGTATTCAAATAAATTCAATACGTCACGTTTGAAATAAAAGTGTATGTGCGTTGACGCGTGTGAGAATGAGTGTGGAAAATGTGTGCCTTCATTTCAAGTATGAAAATTACCGTTGTACACCGAATGTGAAAATTCAATGGAAAAGCAGATAGAAGCGGAGGTAAAATGAACGAGAAATAAAGATAAAGAATTAAAAGAATGAATGATATAATGTTGGTATGATGTGATTTATGACTAGAGTGTTTATGTAAAGATCAATTTTTTTTCAACGATCAATACGATATCAATAGTTATGCACACAGACATCCACATTTTGCGAGGCGGAAAACTGCGGGTCAAAAGACATGGGAAAAAAAAGAGTGCTGCACGAAAAAAATGCGATCGCTTCGAGTGCATGTAGTTGTAAATGTCGTGGCAGTGTTTGATTTGTTGATGGTGTTGCTATTTGTGTTCGTTGTATAGATTTTAATTTTTTTTCCCTTTTTTTTCAATCACGGATCGAAACCGTAAAGCCTTTATGTATGCCTACGTTCTTTTTTGTGCTATATTACGATATCATTTTACAGCAAAATCGTATACATACCACACAATATTTCTTTTTTGTTCCACTTTTCGGTTCGCACACGCGCTCGCACACACTTTGCATAATTTCAAACTGATATTTACGCTCATTTATTCATACTTTCAAGACTAGTTTTTTTTGTTGCAAATTCTCAATATTTTTTTTTTCGTTTATTACGAATTTTTTTGTTTTATTTTGATTTTTTCTTTTAATTTAAATATAAAGCTCATTTACATATTTTCAAATAAAAAATAAAAGAAATAAAAAACAACAATGAAATGCCTACAAATATGCTCTTTTCCAAATTATATTTCCATGCAAGAACAACATAAATCGGTAGTTTTTTTTATTGACGACACCAAACGATTTTCAAAATCTCTCCTATTCGAAAAACTCACTGTTGCCTTTTCATTGGCTTTCATTTCCAGTTTTCGATTCTTTTGCAGCTATTGCAATATTTACCTGTTTTCAGCATTTATTTTCTTTTTTGATTAATTAACTAAGTGTCGCTTTGGCGAACTTTTTTTTTTGTTTGTTTACTCTTAATTTGTAGAAATTTCATTTTGCATAGCCATCGTTATGTTTTTTTCATTGACCAATGAATGTGATCAACTCAGTACAAAAAATGATCTCAAAATACATATATTCAATGAACTTATCAAAAGAAAAAGAAAAAATATATATAGGAAAACTCTGGTTATGTCTGGAGTTTTTCTATGAGGAAACGATATTCATTATCGAAAAAGTTTTAAAAACAAAGTCGTACACAAACATTTGAAAACAAAGTACTTATAATAAAACTTAAAAAAAGATTTCATTTAGTCAGAGTATTTTTCGTTTTGTTGTAATTTTTTGCCATTTGAAAATTGGTGAAAATATCATTATCTCGCGCGCGCGTTTGTGTGGTGTGAGTGTATGAGGAGGAGAGAGGTGGAAAATTATCAGCAACTTAAGAAGATTGGCTTGTCACAGAAAAATTTCAGTGTTTTGATTTAAATGATCTATCAATGCTTCAAAAGGAGCCGTTGAAATAGCATCAGACCCAGTGAGATGATGACATTTGACGCTGTTGCCATTGCAGCAATTGTTCGATTTGGAAGCGATGCTGAACTTGATGTAACTGTAAATAGAAATAAAAGAAAAAGAATTAGAGAAAAGTGAATCATCATTGTTTTAAATATGTATGTAAACAAGAAATTGTCCGGTCCTAAATATCCACTGCCAAAAAAAAATAGTATCATCATCAATCTGTCTGCATGAGTGTGAACAATTAAAAACAAATCAAATGAACCAGTTCGTAGATTTATTTCAGTTTTTGTGTTATATTCATATAAAAGCACGATTCTGACCTTTTTCCGAATTGTATTCTCCATGCTCAAATAATAAATAAGTGTGGAAAATGTATTGAAATATCTATCAACGTAAGCATCACCTGTTCGGCAAACAACAGAAAAACAATAATGGCAGCCGAAAAAAAAAATCAACTTTACAACTTCATATACGTATATACGGATGTTATGTGCTATTTTAAAAGCCAAAAAGGTCATCGCTAGCTGAATGTGAGAGAGTGGAGACCATTCAGTCATTCAACCAGTCGGCAAGCAACAAAAAAGAGTCAAATAAATACGAAAAGGTCCCTTTTTCAACAAAAAAAGTGGTTAAGTTTGACACATGTCAGGCTTCTTTATTGGGATTTATTACATGTTAAGGTGAATCTGGCGTGAGCGCACGACACACGTTCATCGAATCTCAGTGGCAGAGAAAAAACTGAACAATAATTTAACTGCAAGATAAAATTGTCGATTGTAATTTGTGTTTATACCCATTTGCATGTTACAACAAAAAAGGTATTGAATCACTTTTTTTGTTCATGCAATTCTCAATGGAGTCTTAAATTTTTATTTCCTATTAGTGATTGTTTTTCTTTTCAACTAATAAGTTAGGCCCATATCTCAATCGTTCATGTCGAATATAAAGTGTTTGAACGGGCTGTTGAAATGTGCTATTTATACATTTTGTTTGCATTATGGCTATGTATTTATATTTGTTTGGTTGCATTGGTGACATACAGACGCACGCAGACAACCACCATCAATTTTTTTCAATTTCAAACAATCAAAGTTAAATTGCAAAGCCAAAACTAAACGAAATTTCTCAACTTATCAGGTAATATTGGAGTCAATATCAATAAAATCGATGTGCGTTACTTCATTCTATTGCGCATTTTTACGATGCCGTTCGGTAGAATTTATCGAAATCGATTTGCATAGATACATCTTTTATGCGAATGGCATTCAGTTATTACACCCTTTGACTATGTTAACATCGGTGCGCATTTGGGCTGTGTAATGGATATTGGTTTCATGTGTTTGTGCCCACACACACACACCCACATCTACAAATTCAGTTTCTCCAACCCGTTTGCCATGCCATGTGCTTTTTATTTTCTTCATCATCATTTTCACTGAGCATCGATCGACCGTTGTCAGCTTTTATTCGAAGAGATATCATTTTGGTTTACCTGGATGTGACTGAAAAGTGAGAGTTTCTTTCCCACACACATTGAAAATGAAACAACACCAAAACTTTCAATATGCATACACACACATACTTTGAGATGGGGAACCAGAAAGTGGAAAAAGGCTCAATTTGTCCAGTGTTCAATTCAATTCTTCATCGATTCTCGAATGAACTTAGTCGGTTCATTTATTTTTGTTCACTTCAATAAACTTTATTTCGAATTTAACAGATTTTTTGGATTTTATTGAACTAAACATGCACACCATATTGTGCACATACGTTATGCACTACACACAACATAAATATGAAACAATCTTGGCATTTCATCGATATGTGTGTGGGCATGAGAGGCTTTCGTTTTTAATTTAAAAAGTATAATCGACCGGATAAAATTGGCTTACTTTATTTATAAATCACTTGCTCTTTAAATGATTGGGAGTAAAATCAACGAAAGGTAAATATTTAAATGACAAAACTGAATTTCATCAAATTGAAAAAGAATAGAAAAAGAACATGATTCGTATTGTTGTAAGTTTTCATTGCAAAATGAAAGAATCATTAGAGACAATCGTCTACTGAATATTACTCGGCTAAATGATAATTGAAAAAATATTAGCTATTTCCACGGAAACGTTTCTTGTTAATGTATGCAGCATAAATGATTGGCGTACTTAGAAACAGAAGCGTACAACAATACAATAGCATTGAAATATAGCAAGCAACATGATGCGCTTCAATTGAAAAAAAAAAAGGAAGAGAATTCTTCACTAAATGGAAAATGTTTATTACGTGATAATTGACGAAGAAGCCGTTACGAGAAAAATATACGATATTCTTCTCGCATAAATGTACAGAAGAAAAGTATGCATCGCGTGCAGCCCTTTCAAGACTATATATACGACGAGCAACACAAAAAAATTGCAAAGTGCGGTTGGAATGAAATGTAATAGCAACCCACTTACGCTTATATGCCAGGTTGACGCAATGAATAAAAATATTTAATTGCTGGTTATGCATACAATTTTCACTTGAAATATGTCGAATCCGATTGTACAATTGCAGCACACAGACTATGTACAAAATTCGGAAAGAGAAAGAGGAAAAATGTGTGTGTGCGAGAGAGAGATCGCGATAAGCAAAAGGGATAACAGAGAGAATACTTGATTTCAATTAGCTAATTTTAGATACTCGACATGAACACTTGAACAGTGACACCGGCTGTCATTTTTTGTTTCTTCCTCTGTCTCTCTCTCTCTCTGTCTCCTTCACACTTTACAGATGTTGAACCAATGAACATATTCTGAATGTGGGGGAGATTGAAAGGGAAATTCTACAACATCCTTTAAATTCCTGTTAAAATTGTTTGTTTTTGAAACACACAAAACACGACACAATTTCTACACCGCAACACGTACCCACGTCTATAATGACAACACAAGCTTAATGTGTGAACGTTTTGCATTGCTCGCATAATATGGAAACGAGTACATAACATTTTAACAATGCATGAATGTTCTGAGCATTTCGATATACTATTCGCAATAATAAACGAGAAAGACTATAAGTGCGCGTACACAAGCTGAACGGAAGGTAGAGAAATGGGAAGAGGGTATGTATATTTAAGGGAGGCACAATTGTCGATTAAATTTATGAATATTTCATTAAATTTCATAAATCCGTCGTGGAGTGATTCTAATTTTAATGAAGTCTTTATTTTACCACTTTTACTCTTGCTCACTTCAACACTCCCCTTTTTTCTCTCGTTTTATACAGACATAATTTTATTACGCTATTGTTTGGACTGGGCACAACGTAAAACAGGGGACACTGGATTCATTTCCAAAGTATTATCGAATCCTTTTTACTCTATCACTTTCCTGCTCAAAATTCAACTTTAACAAGTCAATTTTCCCATTCAGGATATTCAATACCATTTCAAAGTGCCGGATAATTGCTTGTATAGCACCATCCATTTTGCAAACGTTTTGTAAGTTATTGAATTTAATACGTTTTGCTTTGAAAGTTTTACAAGAAATTAGCGAATCGGATTTCCATCGAATAGCATTACTATTTTCACTTCTTTCGGTTCTTCGCATAGATTCTGTATGCTAATGGTGTGCATGTATGTATGTATGCTATATGGTAAAAAGAGTTATTTATAAGCTTGAAAAGAGACTTTACCATTTAACTTAATTGAATATTCATTTGTATCGTTTTGCATTCGACCGATTCAAATTGTGAGAAAAGGCATAAGTGTTCATTATGTGAATTTGTCGATTTCACAATGGCAAAGGAGAAGAAAAAAAACGCATGTTCCGTTTTATTTTTTCATGTGGAAAAACTTTAAAACTCTTTGTTTCGGATATCAACTAAAGCATGAAATGACATTGCGGTCGACCAAACAGACTAATGGTTTGCCAAGAGAAATAAACGCATTGGCATTTGGGTGCGTTATGTTGAAGAGCATATATGCTGAACCATTTTACCTAATCCAATATTCCATGAACGAACATTAAACCAAATTTAAAACATTAAAGAAGAAGAGTTTCACGCTTTTCAACCATCAATAATAAAGAAATTCGCCATTTTTTTCGGCTGAATTTAAAAAAAAAAAAAAAATGAATAAAAAAACGCACGAGAAGCTGGTGAACAAATAAAATGCAAAAATGAGCGCGTTCACCTGGAGCAATGGATTTCACTTTGGTATGTCATGGCTAAGTAGCGCACGGTTTTCATTTGTAGTTTGATCGAACCAAGAACGTGAACAAAATATGAAATTTCAAAGCTCAATTACCTACGTATATTCAGTCGCAAACACACACACACTTTTAGGAAGATACGAAGTTGAAGCCAAAAATTTATTGCTTCAAACAGACAAAACTTTTTGCATTGAAATTCATCGTGGTCGGATGGGAAATTCGAATGCGTTACTGATGAAACTAAAAAGTCATTTCGAAAACATTGCGCAAAAATTCATTGATGAAGGTGATTCAAACAACAGCAGATGTATTTTATTTATTTTTGCATTATTACCGTTCTAAGCGATTTATAAAATTAATATTTACATCTGTTGGTGCCAAAACAATACCAAAAAATTACCGGCAAGCAACAGCTCGGCGTGGGTGTGTATGTATATTTGTGTTTTAAAATATTTTGCAGGCGAATGAAACACACCAACTAATCGAAACTAAATTTAAATTCCAGATTTTCTGTTTGCAAGCCACGAATATCAACATTTGAGATGCTCGATACTTTCCCATCAACATTTGCCAGCAAAATATACAATCGCTGCACTACCACTACTACAATAGGCGGATGCTACTACCAACTATTATACTTTGGGAAATGCATTGACAACTTTTGCAACATTTCCAAATTGTACCACACTTGAAACTTTGAGTAAGTGTTTTTCATTCATCAAATAAAATGCATCTGCATACAAAACTAATTTCATGAATGCATTTCAATTGTACATTTTGGTGTCTGAATATATTTATTAACATCAACTCAATCGTGTGTCTATGGGTGTGAGTGTGCTTTTGGTTCAAAAGTTGTTTGGAGATGTATCAAAGGGTGTTTACCAAAAACTTTGCTGAAGGAACAAAAAAAAACAGCAACAATGCATTCATTTATTTTCATAAAAGCAACGGATGGTCGGAAAGAAGACATCCAAATACCTTTAAATTGAAAATGTTTGGAACAAAAATCTTGCTGCACGGTGACTTACAATCGAAATGGTTAAATCTTTTGACTTTCATAGTTTTTAGAAATAAATCTTTTATTATTTTATTAATTTGTGATCATTATTCAATGCAGAGTATGCATCTTTTGAGGTAAAGCACGGTAGTTACTGCTGAGTTCCAGGTGCTTCTGAGTTCGTATTGTAAAAAAACTAGAAATAACAACAAACATTAATACACAAGCTCACATTCACAGGGGCGCCTGTTTTTTTAAACGTTTTCACTTAAAATATGTGTAAAATTTAGATATCAGACATAGCTGTTATAGGCATCACGGAGGTACGGACATTTTTTTTGTATTCAGGTGAAAAGTTTCATGGATTAGATGCGGGCATTCAGTGATTCGGGCACTCAATAGTGCTCACACTTCCGCGGTGCCAATAATACCTCTGATGCCTTTATCCCTACTCTCCTAACCTTAAATCAATCTATTCTTTTTTATTTTTCTAATATAACGATTTTATACAATGATCGAAGGTATACTTGTTCAAAAGTTTAGCAATAATTTGTTTTGTTTTCAAAATTTAAACATTTCCAGAATTGAATTTTTCATATTAATCTATGTAGCTTGGTCGCATCAAAATTTCATGATCAAATATATCAAAAATATATCATCATGTTTGTGTATTGTATTTTGGTGCTGTGCTTGTTCGCTTATTCTTCAAATGGTGTAATCTAGTAGTTTGATGTCGAATTATTTTATGACAAAATGTTAGTTCATCGATTCATATTGCTGATGTAGAGGTAGTATGTCAGAAGTATCTTTGCATATCAATAAAATGTGTCACATTTACAGATGAAAAAAGAAGACACGTGATCATCATCTGGTCGTGTGCAGAATTTTTTGTGTCGAAACATACACAGGACAATATTAGGCACGTCATGCAAAACAAATGCTATTTTCTCACGTTATTTGGTTGTGTGTATCATGTATGTGTTTCTCTATCCCACGCTATATGTGTTGTTTAAGCAAAGTGTCAACCAAATATTTATTTGTATACTGACATCCTTCTCTGTTTTTTTTTTTCATTTACATTGGCCGAGCGGTTGATCCGGATGTTGTTAGTTTTGCGCATTTAACGGTTATATATGGATAAATGTACATGCATGACATAACGTGCTGAATGTTTATGGCATGAAAATGATTCCTGAAGCCGTTTCCTTGTTAGCTATCAAAAATCTGCATAAAAAAACTGGGAGAGGAGAAACACAAAACGCTAAACAAAAAATTTTTTATACAAAAAGCACAACAACACCAACCAAACCGAACGACCGACAGACAATCCAAAGAATTAACAGCAACAACAAAAAAAAACAATACAACTATTGCAAAACAAAACGCAGTGGCTCATGAAACAACCGAAAGAAAAGTATGAACACGTAAAATGCAGAAAACTGATATAGTTTCAAAATTCACAACCATTCATTTGTTGTATATATATAAACATATATTTGTGTGCTGGCTTTTCGTTTCGGTAACACACGTTTACAATTGGTCGTGTTGTTCATCTTTCATCTCTGGATGGTGCTAACAGCTTACAACTATGAATATTAAATGGCTTCTGAGATAATATTACGGACAAGGTGGGGAGGGGAGTCGAACACATAACATAATTGTAGTTTTGGTTAAGAAGATGACTGGGAGGAATGGGCGGGCGGGCAGACGTATTTAACGATAGTGAGCGAAAGTGACAGCAAGAGAGAAAATACTAACAAAAAAAAGACGAAAAACAGCAGCAGTCAGCAGTAGGATAAAACCGAAAAGAATGTGTTTGTCTACCGATGAATTTGCGCAAATATTTGCTACTGCTGCTAAATTCCTCTGAGAGTTTGATGGCAAAATCGTATTATGTGCAAACAACAGTAAATAAATACGTTATTCCTGAATGGTGCCATAGTTTAGTATGAATAGGTCTGTATGCTTTCAGTGTGTGTTCGGCTCTTTTCATTCTCACTATGATATTGGTATTATTATTTTTTGTCCTTCTTCATGTGCATCTCTCTATCGTATATGGAACCGTATTCCATTGTTGTGTGAGATTTTGTCAAAACGAATACGAATAGGAAGGTGAAGACGACGCCACCGACAACAACAAGAACCTCAAACAATCTACAAAGATGAAAATATTATGTGTGTATATGGTGTGCAGTTGTTTCTATATCCAATAAAAATAATAGCGGCATTAGGGAGCATTTTTCCTGATGTACTAAGGCTAAAATATAAGCACAGTATGTCGACGCTCTTGTCATCAACCTTGCAGCAAGTACAGAAAAAAGCACGATCGTCATCAGATGCGTTTGTGCCCGTGTCACAACACTCACACTAAATGTGATTTTTGTACGAAAAAGCTCGAATTCACTCATTCACTCTCTTTCTTTTGCTCGCTGAGTCGTTTTTTTGTTGTTGTTGCTTCATCCATGCAGTAGCCATTAATTTAAATGCACACGTACGAAATAGTGGTTTGACTAAGCTCTGCTTTTCGTTTTAGACACATACCGAAAGCAAATAGAACTTCGTGTTGTTTCGTATGATTTTGGGGTTTCGCTGGATTAGATACTTTTTGCTACTAACAGCGATGCACCTCTTATGCTACATTTTCAACGCCTTTTCATTCAAATTTGCATGCAAACTTTGCATCAAGCGCAAAATAGCCGAGACAGAAGAAGATGAGCAAGGTCTGAATATATTGTATGACGTTTACATTTTTTATCATTTGCACAATATAGCATTGAGCTTATTTCTTGATTTTTGATACCGTAATCAGTTGCTGTATAAACAGGTCATCGCAATCTACATTTTGTCTCGATTTTTCTATCATGTGCGCAACAAAATCTTTAGACATTGACACAGAAATGAATAGTCCGAATGATTTGTAAGACATCTACTTCTGTGGCATTGCAAATGTTAAGTTTTACAATTGATATGCACTGTCGACTATATTTGACAGTTTGGTATTGATGTGACCGTTGATAAAAGATTCAAATGTTGTTGACAGTATAATATGCAAACAGCTGCACTTTTCCAATATGTCGTCGGTTGATTGGGTCAACAGTTTTTTTTTTGTTTGCAAGATTATTATAACATTGACAGAAGAACAGCGAGGAGTACTCATTAAAATTAATTTATCGCATCCATCACATATGGATGGACCGGACTTAGAGAATATATAGGCTGGGCCCATTTCACCAAATAGTTTATTCGCGCATTTCTCACTATTTGAATCAAAGCGTTAAAAGAATTGTGAGATCTCGTCTCACAAAACAATTTTCACTTCAACAAATGAGTGGTCCATTTAAAAACTGTTGCTATTGAAATAGGTTTTCAGTTTCTGTCAATGGCATGGAAATTCACATTTTAGTTTGATAGCTGGCTAACTCTTTGGTTTTGTACTTTATTGAATGTTCTCACTTAAAATAGATTGTGAGAAAATCTCAGGTGAAACTTTTTGGCTACAGGGCATATCTTCCCCGGTTACAATTTCCCCAAACTTCGGTCATAATTTCCCAAATTTTTAAAAAAATGTCTGGAGAAACTATATCCATTCAGTTTTGGATATAAATTCTCCATCAGTTTGGTAATATTTTCCCCGGGAAATTACGTCCAAACCAAATTGGAAATAGTCTCCCCGGGTTTTTGGCCATAATTTCCCGAAAATAAAATATTTTTCTTGGGGAAAATATGACCAAATTTTAAAAGGAATTTTTTTTTTCAATATTTCGGACATAAATTCTCCATTAGATTTGTATGGGGGAAATTGTGACCGGGGAAAATATGACCGGTCACCAAACTTTTTGATGTAATTGGGCCCTGACATGTTAGTTGCAGAATGATTGAATTTACTCCCAGATAACATCTTAATATACACCTACCTCTGGCTGGTACTGGATCACTTGGTTTTGCGCCCAATTCCAATTCAGTGCTTTCCAAATATAAATTTGGTATCTCTGCCATGCATCTTAATGTAAGTCCGCCAGTTGTTAACGGTGGCGAACCATGGAAATGTGAACTTTGTAGCTGTAGCCTAAGGTTAATGTGCGTTGCTACTAAATTATCAGTTGTTGTTATATACTGCGGTTCGGCTGCATATTGCTGTTTAAAAAAGACACAAAAGAGAATAACAAACACAATTTAAAATAAAAATCATAGAATCAAATATATTTTTTGAAAGTGTAAAAAGAAAACGTTTGAAATATGGAATATCATTGGATTTGCTGAGCTTTATACTTTATTTCGATCAATTTATTTGAAATTTATGCTAACGATTAAATTGATTTCAATAATAATCATTACTATTGAATGCAGTGGTTTCACGAAAAGTTTCAACAAAAAAAGCGTTTAATCAACTCTGTACTCACAGAAAAAGTGGAGACGGTTTTTCCGCAAATTATTGCAGAAACAGCAGAGCAGCACTAAAAACGTGTTTTTTGTAGCTTATTTTGACAGCTCCGTACAAATGTGTATATTTTGACGTTTGACATTATTTGTCATCAGTTAGACAAAAAATTAGAGTCAATGTAAGTATTTATTTTTTGAATAATTTTTGTAATGTCGTTTTTGCAAATTAAATATCCTCATTTTTGACACAAAAAAAAGTATTTTTAATAGCGTTGTTGTTGTTTTTGTTTTCTTTTGATTTATAAATTACAATGACATACTTGATGTGATGACATACGTATTCATTACAATACATAATGCACATTCATATTTTGTGGGATTCTGGAATCAATACAT